CGTTTTTGATCTCCGTTTGAATTTCTTTATAAGCGCTTTAGTCGATGCTGTGATTTCAAATAATCTGGATAAATCTTCCCAGATCGCGGCTGAAGAATTGTACGTCCCCCCCCCCTCCCGTTTTTTAATTCCTTCCAAACCTTGGGAAAAATTAAAAACCTGTTGCTGAAAAAATTTCCGGGAAAACCGGTAACGAAACGATAAATAATTTCCACCAGTCCCGTATTTTAAGTAGGTCGTGGTCTTTGAATGTATGTGAACGTGGTTTGAGATCACAAATCGGTTTCTAAATGTGCCTTTGAAAAGCAGACCAGGCCCGTTCCTAGGCATACGCTGACTATGCATCCGCGTAGGGCCCCAAACGCGAGGGCCCCCCCCCCCCCCCCCGTGAGGCGCCCTCGATCCCCCGGTTTTTTTTTTAAACTGGCACTGCCACCGTCTGCAGTGGTGGGTGGTGTTTTCTCCTAAGCTCGAGGGAGCTCCACCCCCGGACACCCCCTTCCGGGGCCCCCAACCTACGCTCCATGCTTAGGGCCCCAAACTCCTAACATCGGCTCTGAGTAGACTTTTTCTTTCTAATCAAGTTCAACAAAAATGTTAAAATTATGTACACTTGACAACTAATTTGTCTGCTAAATATCCCTTAAGATATTATTTTAGAAGAAAAAACCCACACTTTTATTCTCGCTTTCTGAACTAGAAAACAATCAGAGCTTTCCTAGAAAACAATCAGAGCTTTCCTAGAAAACAATCAGAGCTTTCCTAGAAAACAATTTTAAAAGTTCTCATGTTGACAAACTATTATAAAATCGTGTTGCCACTATTGTGAATATTTCGTGTGTTTTTTTTTTTCCTTTTTCATCACTTTGTCCCTACTATTATTGGAGACAACTAAAGTTTGCCCAAATCAAACCTACCCCACCTACGTACCTGCATACGTAACTACCTACCTAGCTACCTAGCTACCTAGCTACCTAGCTACCTAGCTACCTAGCTAGCTACCTACCTACCTACCTACCTACCTGTCCTGTATGTTTTAGATTGGAGGATATGGAAATTTGTACATAAAAACATAGCATCAGTTCTATAAACACCAAGACAATTGTATTAACTGGTTTCTTCTGTCAGGTTTTGAGTGGAAAAACTAGCACCAAAAAAAAAATAAAAAAAAAATAATAATAATATTTTTTTTAAAAAGTAGATATATTACATGGATTGACCAAAGCCCAGCACTGTCCAGTCCTGTGAATCCGTAAATGTTCTCCAGCTAAGAAAATGCCTTGAAATCACGTGACGTTGTCAGTTTCAAGTAACTGTTAATATTGGATTGGATTGGACAACGCTTTTTTTTTTCGTTCATATTTCCATTTTTTTTTAAAAAATGGGGATTTCAATGTTCAACTGATGACGCTCAACACCGGTTGAATATTTAACAACATGGCACGATTTACTCGGGCTGCCTTCTTTTATTTTCATTTTTTTTTTTTTGGTCTGTCTTGTGAGATAATATTTTTTTTTTAAAACAAATAAAATGTCTTCTTCAGACAGGAATAAAATATCCAAGGAGGCGAAGAAATAAAAATAACTATTTCATTGGTAATATTTAAAAAAAAAAAGAAATAAATCATTAAAATTGAAATTGTAGATGTAGGATTTTGATTCCCTACACTAAATTTCATATGGTAACGTCAAGACACAATTTGGCCGTTGCTTTAAATTTAAAAAGAAAAAAAAAATGTATTTCAGAAGAGACAACACTTTAATTTAATTTCGCCCACCACACTGTGTGGAAGTGTTCATTTTGGGGTATTAGCCATTTTAGTAAAGCACTTTTGAAACTATTTTATATTATTATTCTGTACTTTCTCCAAAGACAGTTTCTTTTTTTTTTTTAAGAGGTTTTGTTAAGTTGAATTTTATCTCTTGCACTCTCCGTCTCCTTGAGGAGATGGTGTAGCTTCTGGGTTGCTTGCATCCACCCGCCACCCCCCCCCCACTCCTCGCGTGGAGGTACGAGGTCGCTTCTGGGGCGCCCATCGCTCTTCTCGCTACAACGACAATAAACTTCCCGTTGGACTCCCTTTCAAACTGATTTCCATTTATTTGCGTATTTAAATACACACACACACACAGACACACACATATTTTTTTTTCTTCAAAGATTTAAAAAAAAAAAAAAAATTATTAATTTTTTTTGGTTTTTTTGGATTTTTTTTTGGATTTTTTTTTTTTTTAATTTTTTTTTTCTAAAGTACAAAAAAAAAACTACAACGACAATAAACTTCCCTTTGGACTCCCTTTCAAACTGATTTCCATTTATTTGCGTATTTAAATACACACACACACAGACACACACATATTTTTTTTTCTTCAAAGATTTAAAAAAAAAAAAAAAATTATATAATTCTTTTGGATTCTTTGGATTCTTGTTTGGATTTTTGTTTTTATCAAGTTTCTCTGTCTAAAGGACAAAAATAAACAAGTAATTATCTGGAGTTATTTTATCATCAGCTACAAACAAGACATCTAATGTTATTTGGTCTTTTACTGACACATTCAATACTTGAATTAATTTCTCATCGGTTATATTCTATAAGCACAAAAATCATCTATGTAAAATCTATAACAAATTCGATTTGGAAAAATTTGACCTGGTTATTCGCGGCAGAAAATAAAAAAAAAAAAACAAAGTTCGAGGCTAGGAATTGAAAAGCTAAAACACTGAGATCGCGTTCGCTGTCGCGTAAGGGGCAATTCATTGCGGGTCAATATAAAGGTCGGCTGATCAAGACAGCTAGTAATATCACACAAACAAAACATCCTTAACTGAAGAACTGTTTGCATTAAAAAATAAATGCTGATTTGGACAATACATCCCGTCCACTTCATCCTTGATACCTAAGATCAGCTCGATCACTGCACATCCCTTCTTTTAAAGTTAGGGACTAAAGATCTAAAATAGTTTTGATCCTCAGTCCGTACGAATTTACCAGCTTGCTCTCCCCCCCCCCCACCCGACCAGCGGTTTCCAAATGTAAATGATCACTAATTAAGTTATTATTTAAATAAGTGAGTTCTTGCTTCTAAAATTTTCATAATTGTCTTGGTTAAAATATGTATTTATTTATGTGCTGAAAATTCATTGTACAATATAGTCGGAAATAATTTCCATCTATTTGGATCAATGAAGAGATTTAGTGTGCTGGGTGGCCGAATGGTGTAAATAGAGTCAATGTGTTCATGGTCTGGAGTTTAATCCCCACCAAAGCTCAGTCCAGCAAAAACTCGTTAACCTTAGATGGCAGCTCATCTAAGAGAAAGAAACTCTGAATTCAAACCCAGAGATGGAGTCCAGTAGGCGGATCTCATTGACACAATGAAACATTCCGACAACTCCTGCGACGCCACTGGTGCCAGCTGTATCATCCACATGATGTTCCATTGGGTTATCAAGCTGCGCGGAGAGAGGCGATTTGCTGTAGGGAACCAGCTTATAATCCTAGAAGAATAACCCCATGGTGTTGTGGATGTAGTCCTGCGAAATCATCACACCATCATCACATTGTTACGGACGGAAAGCAGCATAAGAATCTAATCTTATCTTATGGTAAGTTTTAAAAGGATGTAGAATTTAACTGATTTCTTTAGAAGCACTGGTTCTGGTTCTGGTTGTGTGCATTGCTACATCATATACTGGCATTTGTGCAACGGTTGGGGGGAACGGTGTTGCTATTCTAACAGCTCCTAGCTGATGCCAGGGCAGCCTTGAAGTTTTCGACCGATGTCGAGTTCACAGCGGCATTGTCCAGGTGGTTCCAAGCTATTATTGTGCGTGGGAAAAAGATTGCTTATACTGAACTGTGTTGCACCGAGGCACCATGACGCATTGGCTGGTGTTTCGGGTGTAATTGTTTATGGGATTATCCGTGGTGAAGTCAGTGTTCAGTGAGCGTTATGCTCTGATCAATCGACCAGGTTTCTGTGGAGTGAGGTACGTGCCTGCTGGGATGGCCGGCACCAGTCCCATGATCACTTTATATAAGAATATCAGGCGGAATCCCTCTCGTCTGTCCTTAAGGGAAGGGATGTCAAATCTTTTTAAGAGGCCAGCGACGAAGCCGGAAGTGGTGGATTTGTAGTCTCGTGCAATGAAACGCATCGCATTACGTTGAGTTCGCTCCATCTTGTCCACGTCTTGCTGAAGGTGTGGGTCCCAGATGATCGCACCACATTCTAGTAGTGGTCTCTGTTCCAGTATTAAACAGAAACTCGTCCCTCTCCTCCATAGACAGCGACGAGGCCATGATAGGCAATTCAGGCTCATACCAGCAAGAAGCCAGTATAGGAGCTGCTCATTCCTGCCCAAGACAATCAGGGACTGGAGCAATCTTTCAAAAGGAACGGTTGAGGCGACAACACTAAGACACATTTGTGTCTATTGCCTCAAGCCTTCAAACCCCTAGTGCATGATTTCCTCATCAACACCAGTAACAGAAACATTGCAAATCCCATCTACATGCATAGGAGCCAAAATGATCAATAAATTGATCGTGGGCCCTTAAGATATAGAAGAAGAAAATACTTGCGTGTAAAGGAGGTTGTTTTATAATAATGGCAATAAATATTTAGGTACCACCGGGCAATGTAAAACTCTACTTCATCTACGTCACTTAGTCATTTATTTGAGTGATGTCAATGAGATCCTCACGATGCTATTTAATTTTAGAATTGAAAACTTTTTTTTTCCCTATGAATATTATTAATATAAAGCATAATAATTACAATTTTAATGGAAAGAAATAAATGAATTTCCTTGGACGTAACAATGGATTCAAGAGGGAAAATGAAATAATAAAACTTAGGCCTTAGACGAAATAATTTATATTTCATGAGTTACTAAGGAAACGGAATTTTTTTTTTTTTTTAAATATACATTTGATACATTTAGAAAGTATTGTACAGTGTTGGCAGTTATCTCTGCAATATTTGAACGTTCTGTCCAGTGGGATCTGGTTTGTGACCGTTTGGGGCTCACTGCGCTTGTCCAGACACTCATGATGGCAGGCCAAACTGTGGGAAGCATTCTCTTTACATCGCTTGGTGAGTATGCCAATGAAATTCAAGTGCCGCACTGTTGTGGTATTAGTATAGTGGTGTTTCGCGAGGTCGTGTCCGGCGGACGGACCGGTACCGGTCGGTGAGAGTGAGTCTTGCGTAGCCCGGTTCGTACATGAGACAACACACTGGATAAAAGTTGGATAAATTGTAAAAGCCATAAGAGAAAAAAAATCTGTAAAACGGCAATCATTAAATGATAAGTTGATTGTTAGTCATCTCGCATTGTCTCATCGCGGGGTTAAACAAAATATTTTGTGACATACTTAGGGAATTAAAAATAATAGTATTGTTTTTTATTGATAATACATCTGGAGCTGGACCCTGCTGCAAGTGAGAAACTTATCCACGAGTTTACCAAACTTTAAACTTTGTGTAACGCTGGGCTACAAGTGTAGGCAGAAGTATTGATTAACAGCAGTCGTCGCTTTTTTTCTTTTTTTTAATCTATTGATTTATTCCGGCATCTGTACCTAAATGATTTACTAAATTGTGTGTAGAAAACTTCCAAGGTGACTGCTGACCTCGATGATTTAAGATCAACCCCCCTCCCCCACCTTTTTTTTTTTTTTTTTTTTTTTTTTTTTTTTTTTTTCTTTTTCATATTTCAACGGATAACTGCCCTACTTGCCTAAAGAGTTCATTCCAACGTGGCTACTTATGGATATGCCTAAAGGATGGGGATTACCCAGCAATAACCCGCTAGCTTGTGGCAGTGAGGTGCAGAGTGTTTCCATTTTCACCCAAATTGCCTACAACAGCTTGTTATTACATTTATATTACAATAAAAACATCAATGCATGTTACTTTTATATATAATCCGTGTGTAGGAGAAAGTAGCGCCAAGAAGGAGGAAACCTGCAGAAGAATGTTGTAAACCCCCCCCCCCCCCCCAAAAAAAAAAAAAAAATTTTTATAAATCCCTCATCAAATATAATATTGGGGAGGTGGGATTTTGACAAAACGTGCATACAAGTAAAGCCCTTTATACGAATCCCAATTAGTGCTCTCCCTTTCCTCCACAAGGCTCGCAGCCGGAAATTTTTTTCATGCCCCTGAAACTTCATTAAACGATTTCAGAAAAACAAAATAACATATTACGCACCAAACGCACTTGCGATATTTATTTATTTAAAGAATCTCATTAAGTGCAGTCATCAGGAATTTTCCTTCATGTTCATTTTAAAAAACAGGAAAACTGATTTTGTGGGTTTGGTTTTTTCTTGTTTTGTTTTTTTTTTCCGTTTTTTTTTCCGTTTTTTTTTTTTTTTGTTGTGGGGGGGGGGGTTGGGTTGTGGGGTGAAAATTTGATATAATGTGTTGTCATCGGCAATAAATCAATGTGCAAAGTTTCAGCTCGATGGGTTGACGGGAAGTGGGTCAATTAGCCGTCCGAAGAATTTTCCCGTCACTTAGCCAGCCACCCACGAACAAATGCGAAGTTAATATAAAGTATAAAAATCACCGCCAAAAAATATTTAATAAAAAAATCATCTTCACCAATAAGAAGTTTACTACATATTACATTTGTGTTGTTCTAGACATTTCCTTTTCCTCCATTGTTGATAAGGTAAAGATATGAGCGAGAGAATATCATCTACACACTTACTTTTAGGGCTTACCTATGACATTTATACTTGAACGATTTCAAACTTTTGCTGGTGTATTTTTTTTTCAAACTGTAGGCCTCACCTAGTCTGATTCCGGGACTGCAAAGGTGACAACTCCCTTTGTTACACCACCGGACACCTTAATGACAGCTCCCTTTGTTACACCAGCGGACACCTTAATGACAGCTCCCTTTGTTACACCACCGGACACCTTAATGGCATCTCCCTTTGTTACACCAGCGGACACCTTAATAGCAATTCCCTTTGTTACACCACCGGACACCTTAATGGCAGCTCCCTTTGTTACACCAGCGGACACCTTAATGGCAACTCCCTTTGTTACACCACCGGACACCTTAATGGCAACTCCCTTTGTTACACCACTGGACACCTTAATGGCAACTCCCTTTGTTACACCACTGGACACCTTAATGGCAACTCCCTTTGTTACACCACCAGACACCTTAATGGCAACTCCCTTTGTTACACCACCGGACACCTTAATGACAACTCCCTTTGTTACACCACCGGACACCTTAATGACAACTCCCTTTGTTACACCACCGGACACCTTAATGACAACTCCCTTTGTTACACCACCGGACACCGTAATGGCAACTCCCTTTGTTACACCACTGGACACCTTAATGGTAACTCCCTTTATTACACCACCGGACACCTTAATGACATTTATCCGCGAGAAGAGTTATATTCTATAATCTCCCTAAATGTCTACCATCTTTCTACCTCTCAGCCGACAAATTTGGCCGAAAGAGTGTTTTGATAGCCTGCAATGCTTTGCTGTTAGGATCTGGCATCGGTGCTGCCTACAGTCCGAATATCTACGCCTTGTTAGTCTTTAGATTTCTGGCTGGTTTATTCCAACAGGTGAGGTTTTACATAATTTCTTTTAGGAAATAGATTGAACACTAAGAATACGTCTTAAAGGCCATGTTGTTGTTGTTCTTTTTTCTTTTATATTTATAATGATGTTAGGGTTTAAAATGTATAATTAGTTTCATTCGGTTCAGCTAATTTATATAAGTTAAATTGAATAAATAGTTTCCCGTTGGCATTCATTTTGCAACTAGTGACAGGATCAAAGTGTAGATCCAGCAACAGCGGGGCGGGCAGCGAATCCACAGAGTCAGGGGCTCTCGTCATTCAATGAAGATGTGGAAAGCATAAGACGCCTAACTGGTTACTAATTAATTGTATTCCCTAGTAAACCCTCCCCACCCCCCACTCCCCACATTTTTTTTTTTTTTGCAACAACATTTTATGTTTGGTTTAATTTTTTTTTGCAACCTCTTTTTTTTTTTTGTTTACTTTTTCTTTTTTTTCCCCCCCCCCCCCCCACCTGTAATTTTTTTTTTTTTCCGAAATTTCTATTAACCCCCTCACTTTGAACCCCCCCCCCCCCCCCAGGGTGTTGCTTGCGTCGACTATACAATGATTGTTGAATTCTTAACATCACGACGCCGCAGGGTTGCTGGGGTTCTCTGTGGTTTGAACTGGACCATCAGTGTTTTATTCCTAGCTCTGGTTGCTTACCTCATGAGGGACTACAGTTGGAGGTCACTGCAGCTGCTTTCAGCTCTGCTCGCTTGCAATGTTTTTCTATATCCCTTGTAAGTTTGTATGTGCATAAGTTACAGGGTCTTCTCAGTGTTTGTGTCAGATGAGGCAATATAGACTTAAAGAGAGAGAGAGAGAGTGTGTGAGAGAGAGAGAGAGAGAGAGAGAGAGAGAGAGAGGGGGAGGGAGAGAGAGAGAGAATGAAAATATCTGTCATGACTCATTTTGTTTTCTATGGATTTATTTTCCATCTCTACAGTTTGCTTGTTGAGTCTCCGCGGTGGTTGATAGCAAATAAGAGATATAAAGAAGCATTAGCTATCATCAAAAGAATGTCCATTATGAATGGAAAAGATTTTGAGAAAGTCAGACGCATTTTTAAACACAATGTTATGCAAAAACAGCTCAATTCCCATCAGGTAGATTCTTAAGATACCAATAGTTTTTGTTCATTACTTGTTATTTATTTGCGGGTTGGGGGGGGGGGGGAAGCGGGGACTTTCATTGGTTGTGAATTTATTTTACAGATGAAATATTATTATTAAATCCTTCTTCTTACTGTTGCATAATTACATTTTAAATTAGCATTTTTAAACACAATGTTATGCAAAAACAGTCCAATTCCCAACAGGTAGTTTCTTAAGATACCAATAGTTTTTGTTTATTACTTGTTTTTTATTTGGGGGTTGGGGGGGGGGGGAAGCGGGGACTTTCATTGGTTGTGAATTTATTTTACAGATGAAATATTATTATTCAATCCTTCTTCTTACTGTTGCATAATTACATTTTAAATTCTCAGAATGAACTTATCGCAAATGCTCCAGGAAGAAAAGTTGAGCGCTACTCCGTCTTAGATATTTTACGACATAAAAGGCTTTTAATTTCTTCCCTCATTATATGGTTTGCTTGGTAAGAAATGTTTGCCATTTCAACAAAAAAAAACAGTATGTTGCTTTATTTGTATCTCTTTGATGTTTTTTAGAATTCTCAAACTTATTTACTATTGAAATCTTGCATGTGATATGGTAAAAATAGACATATTATACTTCTTGAAAACTCAATTACAGGGCTACAAATGTGATCACATATTATGGACTATTTCTTACCTCCTCATCCCTTGCTGGAAACCGTCATCTGAACTTCTTCTTGATGGCACTGGTAGACATACCAGGTGATGGTACCAATTTTATCCTTTTGAAATTGTAAGTGACAAACTGAGAAATAATAATAAAATATTATTATATAAAAATACTCAGATTTTTTGCTTAAAAAGCTGCTGCATCAAAATGTCTAATTAAATGAAATTATAGCCATGTTTAATTTAAACTTAAATAAAAGTATCAGCTTAGACTAAACTATTTCAGTTTTGGAAGGAAACCAGTCCTTATGTTTTTGATGACGTTTGCTGGAAGTAGCTTGTTGTCTGCCACTCTCTTAATGAGCTTGGGTAAGTGCAATCAAAGAGCAACCATAATAAAACATTCTGAAATATTGAATGAAAAAATCATAAATTAAATGTAAAAAATGTGAACTGGATCACCACCATTTGAAATCTTTCATATAATATTTCATGACTATTTTATGAGTTTTAAAACAGCTGTCTGCCAAGCGCATAAATGACATTTCAATATTTGGCTGAGGAATTATAGCGACAGAGCTATTTAATGGGGAAAGTTAACGTGTAGAGAGGGATAGAGAGATGGCTGGAGAGATGGTGAAGACAAGAGAGAATGGTAAATGGGAGGGTTGGGGGAGAGGAACTAAGATAAATGAAGTTAAGCTTAAGTTTTGTTTGCACGCAGATACCTGATTTATCACAAACCAACTTACTAGCTCTAGATTTAATCGACAGATAAATTGATATTTAAACGTTTAGTGAGAGAAGAGATCTAAAATAGCACATTAGTTAACTTTTATTTTTGCTTTCTTATTTTTAACTTCATTATGTGCAATAAGAATAAGCATTCAGCATTGGGTGTGTTAAGTTTAATATTGGGTTCAATAAGATTCAGCGCACAAAAGGTTAACTCGATATTAAGTGGCAGTTGAAGCCTTTTAGATTGGCCACCACTGGTTTAGTATAATTAACTTATTTTACCATACTTATCAAAACAATGTATCTATTAGGTACCAATGCAGTAACACAGACTCTGTCAACGGTTTTTTCCTTGGCTGGAAAGTTTGGTATTGGAGCCTCTTTTAATGCCATATTTCTATATACACCAGAATTATTCCCTACAAATTTGAGGTAATAGCCTTGAGCACCTTGGCCACATTAGAAGATAAAAATGGTTTAGAAATATGTTTTTTGTTCTAAACATGAATTCATTTAACTTGTATTATTCCAAGACAATGTAATATTTTAAAATATTTAATATATCCAAAATAAAATTTGTTAAATTTTTTTTTTTACATTTTGTTTCTTTTTTTCAATTTGGAAATTTATGTTCACTATAGTTATTGCCATGTGCCACTAAAAAGTTATCTAAAGTGATAAATAATTTTCTCTTAACAGATCTGCTGGGCTGGGTCTTTGTTCAAGTATTTCTAGGCTTAGTGGAATGGTAGCACCTTATTCAAAACTACTGGTATGTATCTTTCATTTAAGCATTTTGTATTTCTTGTTTAAATCTCATTCACTGTTAATACTTTCATGATATTAAATATGTCAATCATTTTTCGGAAGCATTTTTCAAAACCTGGATTTATTCACATGCATTATCTTAAAATTGGCATATACCATTTGCAGGACTATGACTATTGATTCAGGGCTCTTATTTTATTCTCAGTAACCTAGTTTAAGAAACTCTGAATGTTTAATCACTCTCTTCAAACCTTTGTTGATTTGATATTTACCTCCGGGATAAAAATAAGGATAGGAGTCAGAAATTCTAACTTAAATTATGGCAGCTCATTTAAAATACCTCTTTGAGATAATAGGAACAAGATGTTTTAAATACCTGATACAAATAGGAGTTTCATGGATTTATTTCGTTTTTTTTTAATGAAATTGAGCAATCACTATTTGTTTAAAAATTATTTATATTAACTTTGCTTTTGTTTTTTGTGTGTTTCTGGCTGGATGGCAAAATCTTCAGACGGCTAATTGACCCCCTTCTGATCATTGTATCGAGCTTAAGCTTGGCACATAGACTCATTGCTGATGAAAACACATTCTATCATATTTTCAATCCAGCCCCCATCCCCGAAAATCAGTTTTTCCTCTGTTTAATTACAGACAAATTTCTTATATTTTCTTAGTAATTAAAGATTTAAAATCAATTCTTGCCTTATAGCCTATCATTATTTATTGTTTCTCATACTCATATTCTACCAAGTTTATTACTTTCATATGATTTTCATTACGAAAGAAATGATCACTCAAAATAATTATTTCAAATATTTTCAATACTGCCCTAATCAACTGTGTTTTTATATTCTTACAGGGTGATGTTGTCATATGGGGACCGGGAACAATATTTTCAACCATGTGTTTTTTATCTGTCTTGATGTTTACACAACTTCCAGAGACCAGGGGCAGAGCTCTCCCAAATACTATATCTGAGATGAAGGAATGGTCCAGAGGGAAGCGACTGCTCATAAGGGATAATCATGCAGGAAGTGAAGATCAAGTCAACAAGGATGTTGTCATTAATAATAATATTTAATAACAAAACTCTTAACGCTGCTGTAAATAGGGTAATTATATAACTACAAAAAAGTTATCCTTGTTTTCCAATTTTTTTTGCAGCTTAATTACTATCTACACTGAGTTTTGGGGCCATCCATAAAATACAATAGGCGTCGGGGGGGGGGGGGGGGGGTCATCACATGTTTATTATATTTATGATGATGTGTGATTTTTGAGGGGTTTAAGCTATGTGACATTACATTCAAAGGGGAACATTATTTTCAAAATACACACGAAATTATAGATTATAGACATATTTATAATTCTTTTTTCAACAATTATAATTAAATTATTTTTAAACTACGATCAATGAAAAAATGAGTTTAAATATGCGAGGTTCGAGAAATGGCATCTGATCAAGTTATAGGCCACCATGGAGGAGGAGAATAGGGGTGTAGTGACTTTGACAATCATGAAATGTGGAGACAGTATTCATAAAATTAGGGCTACATGGCGCAAAAAATAGTTGATTGGGGGAGGGGGTGGGTAAACTTAATACATTTTTGAGGGCAGGGATTCTTTACCTTCTTTTAGTGCTGCATCCCCTCTCAATTTCAAAAAATTTCCCATTAACAACCCCCCCCCTCCCCCCACCACCAAATTATATTGTAATAAAATTTTACAAATTAAAATAATTAAATCAATAAATAGTTTTATTTCTCTAATTAACTTTCTAGAAATAAGAAAAAAATTACTAATACAAAAATGTAATGCCCAACAAAATTGACCAGAAAAACATATACTACTGATAATGAAAATCTATTTCTTTTTAAAGAAAGGAACAGGTCGCTAGCAATGGCAGCAAATAAAATTTTCTGGGTCTTCAACACTTCAGAAGGTGTTTTTAACAATGATCTAGGGAAATGTTTCTGACACAGGTGCAGTTATGTGATATCAATGGGAGCTGATTTTTTTAAAAGGGTTTGTAGAGATATTTTAAAAGGGGGGGGGGGGGGGGGGGGGATTCTAACGTTTGGTGACACTTTTTGATGATGGGAATGGGAATTGAAAATCTGCTATATTTGTGTTATGCCATTTATGGATGGCCCATTTGAGTGATTTCTGTGAATCTCCAATCATTTTGTTGTTCCTGTTCATTGTATTCTTTCTATCAACAGAATATATAACATATTATTTTTAATAGCTTAGGAACATTTATAAAACTTTGTTAAATCATTCATTGAGTAAATAAATCAATAATAGAACAAAATTAAATGGTTTTGAATATTACAGGTATTTACATCATATTGTTACTAAATTTTAATTAAAGTTTAAAATACTCAATACGCAATTTTCTTGAATAATTTGCTTAAAATTTTTTCATGAACATAACAAAATGTAGGGTGCAAAAAAAACATAATATGAACGTTATATATATTTTAAAATCTATACAATTTTTAAAACAGTAGCACAGTATTTTTATGTCAAAATGTATCATAGTGTGGAAGAAGATATGTATAAATGCACAATATCAATATAAAATGTCAGCTTAGACATTCATTATGCCTATTCACACTAGCTTATTTCTTATATTTTTTTAATAAAAATAAAGAAACAACACATAAACGAAATATTCTGGGGGAAAAATGTACTATTTTCCTGTATGCCTGCGAATCCTGGACATTAACAGCCTATCTTGAAAGCAAAATAAAGGCGATGGAGAAGGGATGCTTCAGAAGCATTTTCGGCATCTGCTATAGGGACCACATCTCCAATGATACAGTGAAAGAAAGGGTTCGTTAGGCAATTGGGGAGTACGATGACCTACTGGTGACTGTGAAAAAACGCAAACTACCATGGTACGGCCACGTAAAAGGAAACAAGGGCTTGCCAAAGAAATATTGCAGGGCACCACAAGAAGAGAAAGACAAAGAAAAAGATGGGAGGATAACATCAAAGAGTGGACAGGACTAACACTGGACGATGCAGTGCGTAGTGCTGAAGACAGAGAGGAATGGAGGAGGATGGTTCACATGTCATCTGTGGCGCCCCAACAGTCCAAGGACTAAGGGACATGAGGATGAGGATGAGGAGGATAGTAGTGCTGTAATGGAATTATTTTTTTTCTATTTATCTGATGTTTTCTTGTTTTAATAAAATATTTAAGACATAGCATTTTCATGTGCACAAACAAAAAACAGTAAAATGTGTAAGGTTTGGCATTTTTAGTTGGAGCTTTAAAAAAAAACTATCATCAGCTATATGAAACAAGTTTCCATTTGCAGATGTTTTATTTTATTAAATTGTTGTCCTAATTATAGGGCTTAAAAAACTAATGCTAGCATGTTACTTTTTAACTCTTACCTATGCTTATAATTAGTTTTTGTAGTGTTGCGTTTGTTTTAAATGTGGTAAATTATAGACTTGTTTTTTTTTTTTTACTTTTGTACCGCGCTTCGAGCCTTTGGGGATGAAGCGTGTTTTTGAAATAAACTTTATTATTATTATTATTATTATTTTTGCCCATTTTCAAATTCGTCAGTTTTAAAAAATTGAGAAGGTTTAAAACCAGTGGTACATATTATACATTGAAAGTATTTCTTTTTGACGACAAAATTTAAAAAATAAAAATGTATCAGACTATACATTAAATTACCAATTCAGTATAGTTACCTAAAAGATAATATTGGTCCTTGGGGTTAAAATTAAAAGATATAAGCATCTTATTAATGCTAGATAATAATTTATAAATAAAATCTTCTAATAATCTAAGAGGTAGATAAACTAATGAAATTAGGACATTAAATTTCAAAATCAAAAGTTTTATTACATGCATTTTTGGTCAATTACTGTAATTTTACCATTTTAAAGTAATTTTATTTGACGCTACATTAACAGGAATTGAAATCAGTTACATTTGTTAGCTCTGTTTACCAGAGCAATATCTAATCGTATGTAGGCTTAAAACCAGGCCCACCACGACTCGTTCCACCTCTCCCTCCCTTAAAGGGAACAACTGTATTATTTCCTGTGACAGCATTATCTGGAATGGCGTCAAACTGTTTAAGGGCCAGATATCGACTTTCATCTTGTTCATTTCCTGTCAAAGCTATGTTGCGTAAATCAGGCATCTCAGCAAATGGGATCCAGTCAGTGCCTAACATAAAATTATACAGTTTAAAATATCTTTAATTAAGTAGTGTATGCCTATAAATTATATTTATAGAGTTTTGACACTTACATTGAATATCAAAAATTAATTTTTTAACTATCAAGTTAAAAAAATATGAGTCAAATCAGTATTAAAGTTTTCTACCAGCACTATCAAATTAGTTCAGGCATTTAACCTTAACATGAAGATGAACTAACTGATTTTAAAAGATAAACATTTTGAAGTAAACATTATTTTATAAGCCCTCAGAAAAATAATATTCTCAAGAAAATCTCTTTTGGCCTTTCCGTTTTCCAGATTATTCTTACCAACAGGAAGTCCTTGCTCACGCCGTGATTGTTCTGAATCAAAAAATGTCTGATGATCTTCCCAGTGTCTATCACATGCTGCACATAGGAAGTCAGACATGAAGTTTCCACATGAACAACCTGACAAAAATTTTAAACTTATATTAAATGTGAAAAGTAATGAAATAAGAAATAATAATAATCTTTAAATTTTTATTTTAACTTTAAATCTGACATTGTATCAGAGAATATATTTAAATAAACTTCATTTGGGGAAAAAAATTACATGCCTATGTTTCATTTCTAAATTAGTTCAACCTAATTCCTTCATTGGTTTATATTCTGATCTTCTATTTTACTTTATCACATCTATATATTTCTTAAGTACAAACATGCTTATGTTAATGAGAATAATAAACTCAAAATCTAATATTTACCACTAGTTTTACAACGGTGAGGTCTATTGGGATCATGGAAGTTGTGAGTGTGTTTGCATTTGCATTTTGCTCTCCAAGCAGCTGCATCAAAACCTGGCCTTTTAGGCAACCAGAATTCCCCAATGTCTTCAGGTCTATTTGGTACCCACATGTAGGCTTTACAAGTACAACCTACCATTCTACATGGCACTTTGACACTAAGAGCTGAATCAAATAACCATCCCATCATTTTATAAAATAAAAGGCAAACGGTATGAAAAAATATAATTAATAAAATGATATTTGTTCATAATTATTATTCAATTCATTTACATAAAATTTGAATCTGTTTAATTTTTTTTGTTGCATGAGAAAAGCCCTGTTTCACATTTGTGCCAGCAATAAAATAAAAATAGGGTTTAATTATTTATTGGAGATGGAAGACATTTTATTTCTCTGTGATTGACAAAAGTTAGGGCCACATTGTATTTTTTTCCATTTGAAGGAGAATTAAGTGTAAATAATGTAAAAGAAATTATTCAAACTTAAATGAGCTCTCATATTCATTCTTTTATTTTAAAATGTTAATCTCCAATCAACAAAGTTCAATTGTATGATTAATTAAAGAATACATTCTTTAGTGAAATGAAAAAAAACAGCATTATTACCGTTGTAAGGAGCATGTTCAGACAATTTATGGTCACAAAAACATCTGGATGTAAAGTGAATGCGTTGACAATCATGCTGGAATTCTGGACACCGCCATCCAATGTAAACACCTTTTGGGTATAAATAAGTTTTAGGGTGACTCGATTTCACAAGGAGTTTTTTTAGAAAGTAAATTTTAACAAGATAATGACAATTGGGAAGCCTCATCTGATGGCAGACTTTTCTTATTACAATATGCATATTTATACTGTCACGCAGTAACTGGTTATTCCATTTTGATTTTTATGCTCAAATTCTACAATTTACCTGTCTTTTGAGCTTCAATAGCAGCTGTAGTTTCTGTATCAAAAAGTTCCTTCAGTTTTGGAGCAAAGTCATCATTCATTGCTTTAGCCATTGAGACCACATCATACTTTTCAGCAGGTTTGATAACCCGCATCCTATAACCTGAATATTTGAATTAAATAATTACATCTGGGCCAACAGTATTTATTAGAATGACATAATAATTGAACAGGTAACACTTTTCAGGCAGCATAATTTTACAACACTAACAGGCTGCATAGATACAATTATACCTTCATATATTTTGCATGAAATTATCAGTGTATGTTTTTTTGTACAGTATTCAGTATCTAAGCATTATTTGAGTTATGTGTTGTAAAATAGTACATAGTACAAAATGGAATGGCTTTTCCAAAAGAGGATTATCCAAATCGATTGATATTAGTATCCGAATAACCCTTGTTTTATTATTTTTATCTTTCCCAATGCACATAGCATTGTATTTTATTAGAAAAAACAAACAAAACAATAAATTCTTGTTGTTGACATTGACAGTTCAAAAGTATATGCTTCACCATGGATCAAGTCCTGGAAACTGGAAAAAAAATTGAGGGAACTCAACCAAGATTCCCCCTCCAAAAATAAATATGTATTTGTTTCTTAGCAAAAAAAATTAGAGAATGCCATTCCAATGCGTTCCTACTGGACTTTTAGGCCTGGGTTTTACTAAATGTAAATAAAAATTGTGCTATTAAAGAAAATATGAGAGTCGAAAGACCTGAAGCTACAAACCAAAGTAAGAATCTTAAAGACAAATGTCAAAACAGTCCTACTATATGGAGCAGAAACTTGGAAAACAACAGCGAGCATTATGTAGAGAGTACAGACCTTCATAAACACATGCCTTAGAAAGATCCTCAACATCAAATGGCCAAATATCATCACTAACAAAGATCTACTAGAAAGGACATAGCAGGTGCCCATTGATGAAGACATCATAAAGAAAAGTTGGAGGTGGATAGGGCATACGCTTTGGAAACCCCCAGATAGCATCACCAGACAATCCTTAACAAGGAATCCACAGGGAAAAAGAAAGAGAGGAAGGTCTAAGAACACATGGAGACACGAGCTATTTAATATACAAATTTTAACACAAAAATGAAGAGATGTTACAGAATTTCAGGTCTCTACAAGTTATAGAAAAAAGTTATTACAATTAAAAATCCCAAAATTTACAATTTACCTATGCAGCACTAAAAGGGTTAAAGGCAACAGTAATTTTCCAATTAATTGGGAAAGGTATACAAGCTTTAAAAGTGTACGCTCAATATCTTTGTCATCTATGCAATACAGAAACAAATTCAAATTATTGTTCCTTCTAATAAACATTGATTTCTTAAACAATGGTAACTTAGATTATTTTATATGATGATAAGCTACAAATATAGGTTCAAACAATTTTTTTAATGCTAAAAGAATTAGTTTTAATTCACAACATTAATGAAAATAACTTTTCATTAATAAAGTATGTAGGCTATTATTTTCCAAAGTGTTTTATTACAAGAAGAGGGATAAAGTGTGATAAATATCTTACTATTAAATAATTCACTTTAAAAAAATGTTTAAAAAAGAACTACCTTCAGGGACGTACATCCCATTAACTTTTTTAATTGGCATTTGAGCATTTTGTAATTTTTGCATCATTCCTTGCTGTCCTTTTGGTACAACTGATTTACCAGTAGTCTTTTCAGGACTTCCGGCCTGAAAATTCAGAAAAATACATTGAGAAAGCCATTAAGGCAGGCAATTATAATTTTAATTCATAAAATTGACAATAATTACAACTAAAATGTAAGTACAAATTTTTGACTGCTAAATTTTGAAATGTAAAATAAAATCCTTTGAGAGATTCAAATAAACATGTATTGATGTATATTCATAATATATTATCAGTTTAATGTTTGAAAATGTAAATTATGGCAATGTTCTGAAATGTTAGTTTTATGCTTTATAATGTGTTGTCACCATCTCTATCAGGATTATTAAATAATTTATATTGAGTGGTTATATAGTGATTTAACATATAACCCCTGCTTTCTAAATCAAGAAACAAAAAACAAACCTTAGCTCTACTTGAGGAAGCATTACTTGGGCCAGGAGATCCTTTTTCACCACTTGAACTACTGGGCTTAGGCTTAAGTGAAAAAATTAAAAAGAGCTAGTTACGCCAGTTTTCTATTTTTATGCCAGAAACTTGTGCCCAATTTTATTTAATGGAAAAGTGATAATTATTCATGATATTTTTGTATTTTAAACTAAATATACCCATTTCATTAGGCTTATTTAATAAGTATTTGTTATCGTCTTTTTTTTTTTTTTTTAATTTCTTTTTTTTTTATTTTTTATTTTTAAACAAATATTTTGGAATTAGGAAATAACATAGGTCTATATATTAATATTTTTTTTTTTTTAACTAAATTTTTTTTTTTTATTAGGGTTATTTAATAAGTATTTTTTTTTGTTTTTTTTTTTTTTTTTAATTTCTTTTTTTTTTATTTTTTATATTTAAACAAATATTTTGGAATTAGGAAATAACATAGGTCTATATATTAATTAAATAAACTGATCAAGATGCATTAGTATTTAGCCTTGTATCAATTCAATAAAATAATTTTTTTTCAAACATTTTTTTAATTAAACCTACAAAAAAAGTTAGGCTATAGGCCTACCTACTTTTTGTGCAAAATCATAAGAGACTGATGTGATTTTTTTATTTTAAGAAAATGATAAAAATGAAAAGTATCTTGAGTTATTTCATTACACATCACATAAAAAGAGAAAAGGAATAATTTAACATTAAACATACATGACATACAAATATTTTGAATACTTAAAATTAGAATATAATATTTAGCTGTCAACAGTGTTCATTACCACAGACACAAGAGAGACTTAAATCTTACTTTAGAAATATATTGTTATTATATTGTCCGCAAAGTTAACAAACTAATATTTAAATAGATTTACACAACAAGTACTGAGTTACTAAGGCTAAGGCGTCTAAGAAGATATTTAGATTAAGACTTTTTTTAGTTTACATAATAATATTTATAAAAATGGTATTAATATTACTAACAGGCTTAATCAAATAAAATAAAATATATTTAAATTTAACCACCCAAAGTAAAGATTATTTCTTCTTCTTCTTCTATATCTTAAGGGCCCACGATCAATTTATTGATCATTTTGGCTCCTATGCATGTAGATGGGATTTGCAATGTTTCTGTTACTGGTGGTGATGAGGGAATTATGCACTAGGGGTTTGAAGGCTTGAGGCAATAGACACAAATGTGTCTAGTGTTGTCGCCTCAACCGTTCCTTTTGAAAGATGGTTCCAGTCCCTGATTGTCTTGGGCAGGAATGAGCAGCTCCTATACTGGCTTCTTGCTGGTATGAGCCTGAATTGCCTGTCATGGCCTCGTCGCTTTCTATGGGGGAGAGGGACGAGTTTCTGTTTAATACTGGAACAGTGGACCAGCCCATTATTTATCTTGTACATCATGGAGAGCCTGGATTGTCGTCGTCGTTTCTCCAATGGTGACCAGCCTAGTGTTAACCAGCCTAGTGTTTCTAGCATGCTGCCAACACTAGAGGTATTCCTGTAGCGGTTTAGGACAAAGCGTGCTGCTCGTCGCTGGACCGCCTCCAACCTGTCAATGCTCTTCTGGGTAAATGGGTCCCAGACTGAAGATGCATAATCTAGAATCGGACGGATAAAGGCTTTATATGCTCTTTCTTTCACACAGGAGTTGCCAATCTTTAGATTTCGCCTTAAGAACCCCAAGGCTTGGTTTGCTTGGTTACATATTTCACTTGATTCCTTCATTTAAAAGTTTATGCCTATAATTATAACTATACTATACTATACTATATAGCAGTGGTTCTAAACTTTTTTGGAGGTACTGAACCCCACCAGTTTCTTATGCATATTCACCGAACCCTTCTTAATAGGAAACATAAAATATGATTTTTTTAATTGTTTTTCTGATTTTTTTTTGGACCTCCGCTGAACCCTTGAGACTGACTCACCGAACCCCTGGGTTTGATCGAACCCAGGTTAAGAACCACTGCTATATAGGCATAGCATAGCCATAGGCCTTTATAAGAATTAAATAATGACTGTAGATTGTAGTAAATAAGGGTGTGGTCCTTTTCTGTCACATAACTCATTCACTGCAATGATCAGTTATAGTTTTAATGAAAATTATCAAATCAAATCAATTTTGAAGTTGATAGACTTAAATTTTTTAAACTATACTAATCTGTGGCCTACTGACTTATTTTAGTTTTAGTAAAACAAATAAATTAATAATTAAAAATAATAGTAATGTATTGGATTTTTTTTTAAAATTATTAATAAATGGCTTTAGTCTTTAGTTAGGCTTTAGGTTTCAGCTAGCTTCTATAAAAAAAAAAATACCTCGGTAATCCTTTATTTTAGTGTTTTTTATTATTTCTACAGAAATAAAATAAAAAATTATAAGGGATTACCAAATACCTTAGTCTTTTGTGACGAGCCGCCTTGCAATGGTGTCTTCTTCATTGTTAATATAAAGTGGTAAATATAGGCAGTTGCTTATAACCGTCAGCTATTTATAACTGTGCTCCAGCCATTTGTAAACATTTTCTGTCGCTATGTTCAAATAATAATTTTAGTTTCGTATTATTTATCAAGAGCCTTGAAATTGGCAGTTAAAAGTTAAAGCAGCTGGTCAAAATGCTAAGCTGCTAAGCTAAATGATTAAAATGTAATTAATATTAATGACTAATGACTGAAAATGTGGCATTGTTCTTAATGGCCCTATTATCTAACTCTGTTTATAATAATTTATATTATATCTAAGATATATCATCCAGTGATCTATCAAAACTAAATTAATAAAATTAACAATTCGGCTTTCTGCTACAATGACATTAGATCTATTCCAAAATTAAGCTTTACATCTTTTGGGGGGTAAAAGTAAAAGGAGTTGGGGGTGTGTGAACATTGAACCCGCGTTAAAGCTAAAGTTGAATTTTTTATAAGCATATCAAAATTAAATACAGTGCTTACCTCCTTTCTTTTTAGAGCGCCACCCTCCACACACTTTTTTTTTCAAAATCACATTTTTTTTTTTTAATTTGCGGAATACTTTTGTACCTTTTCAACAGGGAAATGCTAAAATTTGAGTTTATAAATGTTATGTTAGGATTGCTCTGAAAAACTTGTATGTATAATATAAATAAAATCTAAGACTCAATCAAAAGTTTTAATTACAATCATTTATTCAATAATTTAACATATTTCAAATTTAATTCAACTTTATAACAAGGGATAAATAATTGTTTTTAAAATGTGTTTTTCTAGTTTTAGTAAAACCATTTTCTTATTATTTGCAAATCTATCAGTCAGTGGCGTCACTAGGTTGGTGTCACCCAATGCCAATGCGGTAAACTGAGACCTAACTCGTGGTTTTACCCTCTCCAGACTTTCGCCATGGACTCCCTCCTGATCTGCCTGATCTGGTGGCAACTTCTCTAGTCATCTAATGATACCATCAGAGATAGGGTTAAAGGCTGCATACGAGGTAGTCCGTTTTATAGGCAAAAAATAGGGTCCCTGAACCACTCGATCAAGGCACGGTTCTCAATCGGCCGGCACTTGATTTGACCAATTGCATGCTTTTAGGCTAGTGAAACCCAGCTATGTTGGCTCCCTGTTTTTTTTTTTTTTTTTTTTTTTTAATTTAACTTAGATCTAACAGTACTGTAATGAGCCCAATTAAATTGATCTGTTAAATTTTAAATTTTCCCCTTCCTCCTGTGTGTTGCGCATCCCCAACACTGGTAAAGATACCTACCTTGGATTTAAGAAAATTATCTAACCAGTTATTACAAAACGTGAAGACTTATGCTACCCTATGAGGAGGTTGTAAGGGGGGGGGGTGCTGCATAACTTAAATAAACTTTGATAATTTGTGGGGGGGGGGGCCTTGGTAACATTAACGGCGATTGTATTATATAGCTGTTGCGTGGATGAGCCCTACAGACGGGGAGTACCGAAACATAAGTACAAAACGTGAAGACTTATGCTACCCTATGAGGAGGTTGTAAGGGGGGGGTGCTGCATAACTTAAATAAACTTTGATAATTTGTGGGGGGGGGGACTTGGTAACATTAACGGCGATTGTATTATATAGCTGTTGCGTGGATGAGCCCTACAGACAGTGAGTACCGAAACATAAGTAGCCTACATGGGGCATCAGCATGTTCATGTGGTAACATAAAATAGTTTTACTGTGTTTTAATGGATTTTTCCAGAGACTATAATCTTAGTCATAATATTGCTAAAATCATTCTGAGTATCTGAGTATTCATTTTTTTCTTTAATATGGTCCTATTAAATTTAAATAAAAAGTTATAAGTACCGATACACAACTATATTGACAAACAATACATGACTCAGTAAAACACAAAATGTATTAAAATAATTTATTTTCCTTTTTACAACAAATATAATATATAGGCCTATGTACTAATGTTATTATCTTTTTTTTCTTACTTTCTTTTTACTTATTAATAAAAGGGTGTTTTTTTTTAAAAATTCCATTGGTTAGTCTACTCCATGTTACTCCACCAGGAGATCCTGTCTCCCCTTCCCTCGATCAATAATGCAAGACTGAATTTGCTGTCAGTTGTTTGTTTTACCCCAGGTTGATGAAATGTTGATTTGATAATATGCCTTTAAAAACTGATATCACTTTTCTGAAACAGTACTGAGAATTTGCTTACACTTACACCAAAGAAATGACTTATGACCAACTTTCAATTATAACTTACTTTGATAGAAAAAATGTGTTTATTACCACTCACATGTTGAGATCAAATTCATGAGTTGTGAGCTTATAACTTTGACATTTCATTCACTACCTCATTGACTTTCTGGGTTATCTCTAAAGCCAACAATTTATTTTGATTTTTTTTTGGTTAAAAATTTGTTCTCTATTTTGTTTTTTTCAGTTGTTCTGTTTGCGGGAGAACACTTACAGCCAATATTTCTAAGGTATTATTAATTATTATGTAGTTATATTTCCCATTAAATTTCATAAATATTTCCCTAGCTTATTAATTTAAAGCATTAACACAATGAAAAAAAAATTGTTTTATGTGGAAAATAAATTTAGAATTATTTGTTAAAAGTAGATTTTGGAATGCAGGATGAAATCATTATAACTATAGGTCAGTATATATACAAAACTAAAAAAAATTAAGCCTCTTCACATGTTGTGCAACTGATTTTGATACCAGTAATACAAATATCATCATCATGAAGACAAAATGCTGTACTGTACGATTTCTTTCAACACGGGAAGTGTTATCACAAATATGCTTTTTGCATTTTGGTGTGAAAAAAAAACAAACTTATTTTCTACATAAACAGGTTTTAAAACTACTCCACTGGAAATTATAAACCAAGCACAACAATCACATACGCTATACGTACAATAGTGACTCTAAAGAAACTTTTTTAAAATTAAGATGTTAATCAACTTTTGACACCAGAATATAATCAGCATATAAATTATAATTCCCGGACAAAGTAACAGAAATGTAAATATTTATAAATAATTAATATAATAACTAAATGCTTATCAAAATCATTCATTTCATTTTTAAAAACCTATAAATTCAATTTTTTGTGGCAAGAACATTATGTGAAAGATATGTATAAAACTAAGATAAAAAAAAATAAGCAATTTAAGATTATCTTGTTGGTTTTTCAATAAGTTGCTCAAGAAAAGAGTTTCCTGTGATGATTGCGGTTGTTGCCACTATAATCCGAATTTCTGAAATAAATGGAAATTAACTTTTTTTAAAACTAATTTAAAATATTGAAAACTCATACCACAACCTAGTCTAAGTCAGGATAGAGAAGGATGGTTGGGGCACTGTCATCCTGAGTAAAAAGTGAAGAAAGTAGATTACTAAAGAAGAGAATCCTTGACTCCAATTCAGACTAAAGGAAAGAGAGAATATATACCAGAAACAGGCCATACTATTTCCAGTAGTCATAAAATACTCAAAATTAAAAACATTACAAGAAAAACAAAGAAAACTATATAAAAAATTGTAATCAGACCAATTGTTACATTCACAAGAGAAACTTGGACCCTCACAAAAATGGCAGAAAACCTATTTAACACATGGGAGAAGAAAGTTATCCAGAAAATATAAAAAATAAAAAAAGGATAAATATGGATGGATAATACGAACCAACCAGGAATTGCATTTTCTTTATCGGGATCCCACACTAATAGTAGAAATAAAAAAAGGGTAGGCTACTCTGGGTTGGAACTTTAGAAAGAATGCCAAAGGACAGAGGAGTAAAAAGAGGGTGCATCACCGAAACCCCAGAGGAAAATGGCTCAAAGGCAGACCTAGGCTTAGATGGATGGATGATGTGGAGAGGGATCAACAGCAGCTGGGAATCTAAGCATGAAAAAAAAAGAATCAGGTCTGATTGGAAGGATATAGTGAAGCAGGCTAAAGCCCTACATGGGTTGTAACGCCAACGGGATGATGAAAGGAAAGAGAAACAAAAACCCTAGTCTGTGCTCTAGTTCTCTATCATCTTGACTATTGAAACTCTCTTCTATCAGTTTCATCAAAACACTTCCTAGAAAAATTACAAAAGGTTCAAAACTCAGCTGCTAGGCTAGTACTAAAGGCAAAAAAAAAAACATGATCACCTCACACCACTTCTTTCACTTCATTGGCTCCCTGCACAAGCACGGATTGACTACAAACTCTCTGTTCTCTGCCACAACTTTTTCTCAAATTCTTCCCCTACCTATCTAACCGAACTTCTCTCTATTCACCCCTTCGACAGCTTCACTCCTCCGCAGACGCGCATATTCTTTCTGTCCCCAAGACTCGCACAAAAACATACGGTGATCGATCGTTTTCTTTCTGTGCCCCCAAACAATGGAATTCTCTTCCACTACACATTCACAATATACCGACCATCACAGCCTTCAAAACTGCACTCAAAACACATCTCTTTAATTTCAATATCCCGACTGATACCCGCCTCTGATCGATTAAATGATGCTGCTGGGTAGCCGTACATGGCTTGACATGTAAATAGTTCTTGAATGTGTAAAGTTAATATCCCTTTGTTTTGTTACATTTAATTAATGTATGTTAATGTTTAAGTTCATGATTATGTTTGTTGAATTGTATGTACAGTGTGGTGAGCCCAGCCCTAGACTGGGGTACTCACGCTATATAAAACCACCACTAATAATAATAATAATATAGAAAAATGGAAAAGGAAGTAAAGAACAGAAAGAGATAAGAAAAACAATGCAAAGAACTTGCAGAGACTGAAAAAAAGATTGTACTACCATCACCAAGGAGTTACACAGCTGGAAGCAATATTCTGTAAAGCTCTTAAACTGCACAGTACCTTAATAACCACTTGCAAACTCTGCTGAGGCCAAAGACAAGCTTAGCATCTATTTAGGGACTATTACCATAGATGAAGTGAACAGAGCCGTACACAAGCTGAATAATCTGTAAAGTAACTGTTTTCCCCTTACCAAAAATTATTTATGCAATGATTCAAATGTCTCTGCCTCATTAATAATGTAGATAAACAAAATAGCAGACCTGTTTATCCCCAAACTCTTAAAAATCGTACAATATCATCACAAAATCCTTCAATACATTATCTTAATAGTAAAAAATAAACATACAGTATTTATAATGTACACCTCAAAATCGTACATTGTACACCAAAATCGTAAGAGTAAACAGGTCTGAAATAGCAAACCTAGTGTTTTGGCAAGAAACCGTAGGGCAGCAATTTCACTGTATGTGCAACCTCCTAGAAAATACACCAGCACTACTTTAAGTGAAGGGTCAGTTATAACTTGACCAGTTCTCCCTGTAAAATAAGAGAATCACAACAAAAGACTTAGTACCATTTCTTATATGTTTAGAATATAATCTATAATGCTTTACATTGTTTTAAATCAATTTAAAAAAAACAACACAACTTGAATTCAAAGAAGTAACAATAATTCCTATAGCTAAATTATTTAACGAGTACCCACCTGGTCCAAAAGCTCTTTGTTTTACTTTAAGGTCAGAATGCAACCCACCACAACATTTTCCAACATCTTCTAATCCAATAAGGGTCTCACGAGTGAGGATCTTAAAATAAAAATTTTAAAAAATGCTTTCAATAGCCAAGCTTTAATGAAACTCATGAATAAATTAGTTGCTCTAAAACAGTAGCTTTCAACCACTGATGTGACACATATGATCTGCACAAAATTCTGTGGGTTGCAGGATTTTGATATAAGGAATAAATCTCAATATAAATAATGGTTCTTTAAACATTTTATCTAGATAACATAATATAATACATTAGAGCCATTAAACCTACTCAGACTAATAACAATAGTACAAAATAATTTGCATTTATGGTGCTCATTTAAAAAAAATAATTAAAGTAGTGTAGAAGATCTTTAGAAGTTTTTTGTAGTACTTTGAGTGTATTGAGGGCTAAAAGGGGGCTGAAACTGCTCCTCCAAAATTACCACACACAAAAAAGTTCTGAATCACAAAAAAGATACATATTTTATTTTTAAGATAGCCGCTAATTCCCCTAGATTCCAGGACTGTATAAAAAATCAACCCATTGATTGGATTGCTTTTCAAACTCAATAGAAAAATAGATTCTTTTGCACACTGGCATTCAAAAAATGCACTCCACTATTCATCATTATTCCAATTTTGTTTCTTCAAGCAGCTTATTACAGAAAATTGTACAAATCTAATTACATTCAATATAAATATTGTGTTGACCTCACCTGCTCAACCAACTTGCAAGGCAATGGTGTGTAGGCTCCACTAAATATGTATGATATATCTTTGGGATTCTTCAAGTCCAAGTCAGCAGACTGTTTAGGGACCAGATTAAATTTCCGATTGTAAAATTTATAATTTGACTTCCTTGAAATTGAGTTTGGGGCTGTTTCTTGCTCAGTCAAGATTCCCAATTTTTTCAGGTTGAAAAACGTAACAAGATGCTCAAATCCATGGCTCTGCAATATCAATGAGAACCTTTTTTTTAATATAAAAACTATGATTTAGAATTAATTTTGTTTAAAGTTGGGTTGAGGGTCTTTAAATATTCATTCAAAGTAATTAAAAACAATGTCAAGTAAATTAATGGATGTTTTAAGTCATGTGTAAGGACTTTGAGGAGAGACTGCAGAGTAAAGTGATTCTCATTTCTTTTATATAACAAACACAGAATATTATTAGGAGCACACTAGACCACAAAAGCTACCGTTATTTTAGTTTTAGGCTTACATGAAGAAAACCTGTTTTAAAGGCCTTGTAATCCCTGGGGTTGAGGCCTTCTTGGGTAAGAGAAAGAAGACAAAGTAGTCGCAATGTCTGAACTAAAGAAAACTGTAAATAAATATATATTAAAAAAAAGGAAATTCACTGAATTTTTGTGAAGAAATATGAATAAACTAAAAATGGAAATCTCCATAAGTTTAATATATAAATAATATATATGTTCAATTAATACTGGAGTAAAATTCATTTTAAAAATGTTAATTGATTAATGTCATGCATTTTAGGAAACCAAGTATTTACATTGGAAAGACACAACACATAAAATTTGAAATAAGTCCTTATGATGTCATTTTCTAAATAAACTTATTTTGTTTTTCCCAACCTAATCTAATTAAAACTATGGATAAAAATCAATGGGGAAAATTGGTTACTGTATATTTATGTCTTTCTTTACCACCATTTGCAACTCAAAAAAATGTGTAAAAAAAACAAAAACAAAAGTACGATTTCCAATCATATTTCATCAACAGTAAGCCCTGAGTCTAATGGCTATCAAAATTTTTGCCATGAACTTTTCATTTCAGTTTTTTTTTTTTTATGGTTACTTTTTTTATTTAGCCTAAGAAAAACTAAACTATTCCCCAAATAGAATAATTATAGTAAAAAAAACATTTTTTCTCATTTACCATCCACATTAAAGCAAAGCATTGATTCTCAATCATGTTAGAACCAAAAGTAATGCCATTGTAGCGGGAATTTATAAACATATCACCTATTGGCATTATAATGCTTGTAGTTTGCAATGATATTTTTAGATTAAAAAATAAGCACATAAAATACAAAGAGGAAGGTGGGAGGCATTATTTGTCTCTTAGCATTTTCAATTTTTAAAAAACTTTCAAATTTTTCATTTGAACTGATAATTATTTTATACATTTATCTGGTCTTTTATTTTAATATAGTTTCAAATATCATCAGTCACAAATGTTTTATTTCAATGAAGTTTTCATTTCTTTGAAAGGAAATGTGCAATTACTTACTTGTTTATGTATGCATTCCTCAATGTAAGACATATTTTCTTTGATTTCTGTGCCTTCTAATAAACCTTAGAAATATAAAAGTTATAATTTTGTATAGAATAACTATGATGATTCTCTTTTATTTTGTTGAAATTTAAGAAAAAAGTACAGTAAAAATTTTGTTTTAACATTCTGGTTCTGCACATTACATTTCCATAGTCAAAGTGTGCTTTTAAACAAATTATACTAAATTGTGTTCCTTAATTTTTTAAGTATCAAAGCTGCTACCGGTAGTTGTGTAAACACATAAGAACATAAAAGGTCAGCACAAGTTAGACCAGTAGTTCGTGCTAATTCATTACTAGCAGAATATGGGGAAGACAGCGTTCAGATTGAAACAAGAAATATTACTGTGTAATACTTCCAGGGCGCCGCTCTGCAGCTGACTGGATTTCATCTGTGCATATTTTTCAGCTTTCGTAATAGTTTAGTGGGTTTTACAAAGTTTACATTGGGATCAAGTCGTGTTGAATGTGTTTTATCTGCTTTGACTGATAATCTTGTGTTTTTTATCATGAGGAACAGCTGTTACATGGATTTTTTGTGAACTTTGTTGCCATAAACCAAGACAAAGCAATATCCATCATATTAGAAAAAATTGATATGGTAGATCAAAACAACCATTTAAAGACAAATCAGCTACAGACAAAAGAAGTGTCCCTGATATTGGAGAGGAAAAACGAGAACTCTGTTCCAAAAAAAAATTCAAGACTGTTCTCACTCAAGAACTCAACAGTTATACTTACAGCACAATTTACAGAATGTCTTGCTACAACATAATTTTATGGAAAAACAAAAAACTCAAACAAGCATTTTCAGGACTGAACTGAAAAAAAATATGTACCATTAATAAAAAATAAAAAATTTCCATTTATTAGGATCAATAAAAATATCTATCTATCTATGTAACACACAGGGTAGGAGAAAACCTAAAGAAAGACAAAACAAAACAGTGGATGAGTGGAAAGAGCATATAAAGTTATTGAAGAGCTCAAGTTCACCCTGATAGGTGTAAATGGAGACATGGTGGTGATGCCAACACTATTGTTGATGTAATTTCCATAAATTTCAATTAGGCGCCCTGGGTAATTTGCTCCATTGGGTGTTCAAGACAAGTATAGCTGGTTCCCATTTTAGTGCCCATGGCAACACTATTAATTTGATTTTGATCAAATGAATTGAGGAACTTACCTATGCAACCCTCACTTTATTATAGTGATCTTCGGTACCCCTCCTATTTGAATTTTTTTTTTTTTTTTTTTTTTTTTTTTTTTTTTTTCTTTTAACACTAAATTTTATTTTTTTTAAAATTTTTTTTATAATACGATTTCCTGTTAGACTCTTCCAAGCTAAGATATGCTTTTGTTCTCTGTTGTCATTTGTTTTTGGTTCCTGTTGAAGGCTTTCAGCCAAAACATCCCTTGTTTCAGTCTCTATTCACGTTTTCCTCTACACTGTGTTTTATTTCTGATCAATTCATTTCAAGGGGGTTTAATTTCTATAAATTGTTTGAAAAAAAACATTTTGTGATGTGTTATAACTTGGAAACTTGCACAAACTGCAAAACATTAAATGCACAGCTTGTCACCTATCTCATGCTTCAGATCTCACTACATTCCAGTTTGGAAAATTAAATATTAAGTATGTTACTTACTCTGCTCTGCTTTGATGAATTCATCAAAGTCCTGAGACTTTTTTGTCTTCATAATCACTTCGCATGCACCAATATCTAAAATGGAAATTAATGTTTTTAAAAAAAAAAAAAAATATGCTCATGCTTAAAAAACAATAACAAATTTATCTCTTAATCTGACTTCTGACTAATTTAAAATATTTACAGAAGATACTTGTTCATAGGCACGTTTTTTCATAAGCTAAACCACTTAGTTTTGGCTAGGAAAAGCTTGAAAAGTGTGTGACCCGCTCACTAGCCAACACCATAAAATAATATATCTCTTTATGGTACTAAAGAAACAAATTATTTTTTTTTTAATTTTTTTTTTTTAAATCAAAAAATAATTTTTGTGTAAGTAAAAAGATTAAAAACTAATAAACAAACAGGATTCTGCATAAAACAGACACTTCTTTTGCATGCATACCGGTATATAAGGTAACAATTCTGTATATTTTTATAAATAAATGACTGCCATTTGGAAAGAATTGCATTGTCGCCTTGTCATACAAACATATTCTGCTATAAAAATCAACTAGCAAGTTTAAATAAGTCTGAAGCTTGTTATCAAACCATGAACGTTCTAAAAATAGATTTCAAATGCTTCTACAATCTTATAAAATATGACAATCTTGACCATGTGGCATGGAACAGTTGGGAATGTATTGTAAGAATGAGATACAAAGACCAGCCTTCCATCCAAACAAATTTTACACACTGTCAATTTTGCAGTCTGGTTATGTTGACTTCTGTTAATAACTATTTTCTTCATTGTTTTCTATAATAGAATAAGAATCAATGTACCTGAAGAAAATTATAAAAATTTCCCATGACCCACTCATTTATTCCCCTGAAATATTTCCAAAAAAATTTGGCTTTTGAACAAATATATATGGTAAATGATTTTTTTATAATAGTAAAATGGCAATAAATCAACCAATGAAAATAAAAAATATTAAAATAATTTTCTAATAATTACAATTGTAAAGGTACTTTTTAAAAAAGCTTTTATTTTATAAATTTTTCTAATAAATTCTTTCAAAATTAATACTTACGAATGCCCAGTAATTTCTGCTGGTGTTTCAAGATGCGAAGTTCATTTGCAACATATTGTTTCATATCTCCTACTGATTTTAGATTATTTTTTTTCTGTAAAAATGACAAATTAATGTTAACTTTTTATCTATCATCAAATTGGAAAATATTTACAGCATTTAAAGGTATTATTTGATCATGTTCAACTATATACAACTCTCCCATACAATCATTAAAATGTATCAATAGTCTATGATATATAATTCTTACACAGATAGTTCTTTCTAAATGTTTTATGTATTATCTTATTTTTTTTAAGTACATGAAGGTAAATTTATACGTTTTTTCACCAAAATTTTTAATATTTTCTACAAATATATAGCACCTATCTTAATGATTACATATTTAATCATTTATTCGTGCACATATATATGGCTTACATCATGAAGTCCTTGAAGCTCTTTAGCCTTTCCACTAAGATATGAAAATATATGAGCAAAATGACAATCTCGGATCTGACTATAAATCTGAAATGTAAAGAATTGTTAAAATGAAATAGCCTATATTACTGTTTTAATTTGACTAAATTTATGGGACATGGGATTACACTATCTCATTTACCTCATCTTGACTGGTGAGGAGCAGTTTAGAGGCTTTAGCTTCATGTGTTACATCCGTTTCAAAATTAACTATGGCTGAGAAAGAAAGAATATAAATACTCAAATAAATTGAACCTAATGCATTAAGGAATACAATTTAAAAAGCTTAAAGCTTTGTAAGTAAACACTTAAGTGATAAAGAACATTAAGTTACATCTGCAATTGAGTATCTTAAATCGAATATTTTAAGTATTGCTAAAAACTGCAAGGTAGACTACAGTAATGCTAGATAAAAAATAAAGTTAAAAAAAAAAAAAAATATTACAAGACAGAACCAGCAGTGTGTTGGAGCCATTTTGCATTTTGAGCTTACCTTTAAGGTTGACAAATTTGAATATTTCTATAATTGTTGCAAAAAATTTTTTAAAAATATAATGTGTTTTTTATAAATGCCAAGTACAGAAAGGGATGTTGCTTGTTTTGCAGCTCCCTGCTGGACATAAAAAATTAGCCTGGAATGTTGGTAATACTAATAAGAAAGTAAACATTAGTTCCTATTTTATGCTACTTAAATGTTCACTGAAACCATACTGCAAACATAATTTGACATTTTAGTTTTTACTATGCACTAATTTTAACATTTGTCTAGCATTAGTTTAACTGTTGGTGTAATATTTTTTTCAAACTAAAAAAGGACTGTGCTTTACTTCTTGTCAATTTGTGCTTTCTAAAGGTGTCCAGGTACATCAAAAGGAATGTCCAGTAATGGCAACCTAATGTAAACCAAAAAAACAATTTTCTTTATCAAAATACAAAATTAACTAACAGCAATCGATGTTAAAAGTTTCATCCAGCAATGCCTCATATGTCATTGGAGTACACAATGGGGAAACATAGTCCACATCTGAAAAAGAAAACTACAATATATTAATAAATGTTGCAAAATTATCCATGCTTGTGGCTTTAACAGACAACAGTATTTCCATATTGTTCTTATGTGTGCTTTTATTATTAAACTTATAAAAATAAATATAAATTTTTCTTTTTTTTTATACTTTTTTTTAGATTCACTTCAGTTATCACTAACAAATAATGAGAAAGCAGTGATAATATTCATAATTTTTATAAGGTCTAATTTAAAAAGTTAAATTACTCTGAATTACCAACATTTCAAGACAAACTTTTATTGAGGGATAAATACCAGCTAAGTAATGACTTATTATTACCTCGATCTATAATAAAAAGTTGCCCTATGTGGTGTTTTGCATCTTTATGCTCATTCTGGGTCTCACACATTGCTTGCATTAAATCATAAACAATCTGCAAAGTTGTAAGACTTTTATCAAATTTTTATCATCAAATCTTTAAAAAAAAATAGATTACAAATTACAGTTTTGTTAAAAACTGTTATGGATGAATAGACATGACATAAATAGGAGCCCTTTACTAAATACTTCAAAAGCAATTTTTTCAATAAATTATTTTTCAAATTTTTTAAAAACATTTTAGTATTTTATATGAATTATTTAGTGTAATTTTAAGTAATTTTACCTTGGAACCTCTTCCTATACAATAAATATTTGGTATTTTTCCAAACAACCTCTGTAAGTTTACAAGTGAAGATGCTACAGTGTGAAGCCATGTAGTATCATGATCCTATTAGACAAATCAATTTTAAATAAGATTTTTTTTTTAAATTTAGTGACTGCGGGTATTTGAAAATATGAGAGAAGATTTTGCTTTTTAAAAAGGTGAAGATACATTAAGCAGCATGAAACTGGAAGATTAAATTATGCAGCAGAGGTCACTTTCCAATTTTATAAACAAACATTGATCAAAATGAATGGAAATGTTGTTTCATTATTTATATATTTTCAGCACTCAGATTAATATTCTTACCAAGACAACATTTAAAAACCATTACAATTTAAATAATTAATCTTAAGAGTACTCTAAAAACATTTTAAGAACAAAAAATTGAGGAACATATATTTTAAAAAGAAACAATTTAATGATTCCTCACATTTACAGAGTTCATGATATCTAACTCACAATATTTTATGGTTGCTTATGAAGCAATAAACAAAACGGTAGCGGAGAATGTGTAAATTCTTCACAATTGCCACAGGCCAAAGGATACATGCCCAAATGGCCACTGGATCTGAATGATGATGATGAAGAAGAAGTGTTTCATGTGATTTGAAATATTGTAAACATACCATGTAAAAAGATGTAAAAAATTCAGGTAATTCAAAGGACAGGAGGTCAGTGTCTAGAGGTAATAAGTCAAGGGGAAATTCATCAATGCTGATGTGTCCCATAACCCCTTCACTTTCTAATATAGATTCACATATGTAGAGCTGCAGAAAAATTATAAGCAAAATTATTTGGTGGAATAAATATGACTTTTTTTTTAGTTTTTACTATAAAATTTTTTAGTTCTAAAGATGTGTTAAATAATTTATAACTAGTCTAATTTATAATTACCTTTCGAGGAACAAGCACAATTTTATAATTTCTCCTCTCCCCTTTGCCTATTTCACAATTAATTTGATCAGCAATATACTTCATGGTCACTAATCGTGGGCGAACAAGGTAAATACGACTAAAATATTTATAGAAAAGCATGTCATTAAAAATTATTTCAAACTATATTTTCTGTTTCAAAAGGAATTTTTAAAAATATTAACAAAGCAAGAAAGAATGTCCCATTCAATTTTCTTTCCATTACTGATCAACTAATTATATATGCATTTTAACTAAAATATATAGTAATTTGCAAAATTCACAAAAAGAAAGATTAATTCAAAGATAATTTAGGTTTCTCTCTCTAGTTCAATGCAATAGTGATTGTACATAAGGAGCATTTAAACTAAATTACTTTTCACATCCAGGTAAGCTCTTTTGTCCTGATTCCAGCTTGAATATTTTATCAACACCATGTTCCTAAAGTTAAGATGCAGCATAAGATTGGCATGATTTATTAGAACTAATGAATAGATTTTCATACTATTTTTTCATAAGAGTGTCAAACAAAATTAATTAAATTGGTGAGGTTTTTTTAAACAAAATAAGACTCTGTCTAAACTGAAAATATAAGAAAAATATATAATGTCCAAATCAAAAAGAATGAAAAAAAAATAAATAAAAACAAAAAGTATGCTGCCATGAAAACAAGTAATGTAAAAAGCAATAGAGATCATGCAGTATAGAACACAGAAGGTAAAGAGAGACAAAAAGTGACAGAATGTGTACATGAATCTCCCAAAGGAACATTGTTATTCACACTGTTATGTAGTTTTAAAATTTTTTTACATTTCATTGTTATACCTATAACATTATCAATCTTTTCTTTGTATGTGTGTGTGTATATATATATATATATATATATATATATATAAATATATAAAACAATGTAACCCAGTAACGCAACAATGACTTCTTATATTGTTTCTAATTCTACAGTTAAAATATCAATACACATAAAAAGTGGTACAGTTATGAATTGATACCCTTAAAAAGGTTACTCCAGCAACTCTGTCAAGTGGCTTAGTCAAGTCAGGATCAATAACTAGGTCCTTTGCTTCATGAATCTGTTAAAAATTAAAGTTGTGGCAGACAAAAAATATTAGTGTCTTTATTTATATAAAAAATCATAGATTTATAATAAATTAAGCATAAAGTGACTGAAATTTAATTTAAATATTAAGAAATTAACTCACAGTTAAAAGAAGATGAGCCAGTTGTGTTTTCAGTAGCTTGGTAAGTTCTTGTAAATCCATATTTCTGTATCTTTATAGAGAAAATATCAAACATCTGCTATGCAAAAACCCATAAGGTCTTAGCAGCTATTTCAATGTTATAGGAAAAGATTTAAATTGTAAAACTAATGGGCTAAATTTAGTTCTTTCAAAAGTTTCAAGGTTTGTAGTTACAAATGATAACCTTTTTTAAACTAAGGCTAGCATACTTTCTTTTATTTGTATGAGTAAGCCCTAAAGCAAACCTTTTTGACGTATGGAGCCCTTTTTAGAATTACTTTCTATGCACAGCCCTTTAGGTCTACACAGGGCTGTGCAAAGAGGGGTGGGGCAGCAAATGCGGCACTCATCCACGGCGCCTACATAAGGGGGGCGCAAGTATCTTCTTCAGATAGGACCACAATATGAAAATTAAATGATAAAAACCATGTACTTCACAAAGATAAGTGGGGGGGGGGGGGGGGGGCAAACCTTGGGCCACCTAGTGTTTTATATGTTAATGGTGTTTAGGAGTAGTGCTACTGGGGGATGTAGAGGAAATGGAGCCTCTAAGAAGTGCTCAAGGAACCATTAGGACTCTGCAGAGTAAAGGTGGGGAACCACTATCCTAATGGAATATTTAATTAAATCTTAAGAGTCTTTTTCCAAGCAGGGTTTTAGGCTTAGACAATGAAACAAACTGTAAACTTTCTATTGAATTATTTTTGTCAGCCTACTATGAGTAATATTTCAATTTTTTTATTTTGTCTTTTCCAAAGCTACTTTTACTTTAAACTAGAGAACAAAAACTAAGACAGGCCTGCTAACCCTCAAACTCTTAAAATTGTACAATATCATGACAAAATCATTCAATACATTATCTTAATAATAAACAAAAATAAACATCAAATATATATACTGAATACACTATATACAGCTCAAAATTGTACATTGTAAGCTAAAATCGTAAAAGTAAACTGGTCTGCTAAGATACATTTGACATGTGTGTAATCATTTTATTCTGCCTTGTCATTTATCATGAGGTCAGGGAGGGTATATTTTGAGCTTGTTTATGATTTATTTATTTGTTTTGGCCTTTAATGATGCAACTTTATGGGTCATGTAACCGGGTTTGAATTTGACTCAGTGAGGAGCGGACTGTCATCTTTTCAATGAAGATATAATATTTTTAAAAAGTTTTTAAAAGATGACAATGTTATCAATGCAGTCAAAGACACTTTTTTATTTCTTTAAAAAAGATTTAAAAACTAACAGTTTTCTCTTTCAGAGACTGAAATGTTTCTCAGAAATTAAGCAGTAGTAGGATTTACCTACTTAGTCTCAAAAGTGAATACTGGCAATAGGTTTCTCGGTCTAGCCCCCACATTCTCTACTTAAACACTTCCTTATTCCGCCCTTTAGCCTACATTATGCCATTGTCATCAGATTACAACCAATCTAATAAATAAAATAAAAATCGAGTGAATGTTTATAATGCGCTGCGCTGTTTACGTTTAAATTCACAAATGAGACTGTGTGAAGAAAGGGGCTGACCACAAGTTTTAGGCGGGCCTTATCACCTATCTAAGGGATATGATATACACTAAGAAATAGAAACAGATTTGAATGAAATAGATATTATATACCATTGTGGACAAGTTGCAACATTCCCACCAAATCGTACTAATACTTAAGCCAAGCCAATGTGAAGAAGGAAGCATCACACTATACAAATTTCATATATCATAATTAGTGGTAAGCAATGTTTGGTCAATTTAAGCAATTAGCACCACTTTAAGATTCTGTGTAGGATTCTCTCCCTTTTGTTAATTCTTGGATTGTTACCAGAGTTAACTTTTCTTCGATACTCCAATGAAATCTTTTAAATTATAATATCATTAAATGGTCAATAATAATATTTAAATTTTCTGGCATTTTGGGAAATGAGTATAGTATTGTATTGTATTGATTTGCTGACAACTTTTGGATTTTCTTTTTGGTGGAAACTGCAATAAAGTGTGTAAAAGTGGATTCTACGAAACTGTAAGTTAGGTTTTCATTATTTTTAAATTATTTTGTATTGTTTTTCTTCCATTTTTCACTTTTCTTATCATTTATTTATTTAGGCATTTTTTTATAGCGCTTACCTTACAGCTCTAAGCACTTTGCAATTATTAAAAATATGTAAACTATTTAAACTGCTAAAGTAAAATAAAAAGTAAAAAACCAGAGACACTAGAATAGTAACTACAATGTGAAAAAATTACTATAGAAACAGTGGCTTAATCATTAAAATGGCTATAAAAACAAGTACACTTTGGCACGTTTTGGCCTAGACTACAGGATCAACCCGAGACAGAAACTGAGGCAGGGCAAGGAGTGTGCATCACAGGTCATAGGCGGACCTAAACAGATGGGTTTTAAGGGACTTTTTGAAAGTGGACGAGGTTTCACAATGACGGATGTGGAAGGGGAGCTGGTTCCAGAAAGTGGGCGCATGGAAGTAGAAGGAGCGTTCACCGATGGTCTTAGTTTTGGTTCCTGGGATTGAGAGGGTTCTATTGTCAATTGAAGAGCGTAGTTGTCTTGTGGGGGTGTAAGGAAGCAACAGTTCAGAGAGATAGACAGGAAAGTGAGGGTCAGTGAACAAGTAGAAGCATAGATTGGCAGACTTGTACTTGATGCAAGAGGATATTGGAAGCCAGTGGAGTTGCTGCATGTGTGGTTGAATGTGGTCATGTTTCTTTGATTTAAAAATGAGTCTGCATGCTGAGTTCTGTGCCTTCTGAAGTTTGTCTATGTGGTGTTGAGGAATGCCTGCGAGAAGAGTGTTACAGTAGTCAAATTT